CAAGATACTATTTTTTATCTAAAATAAATATATAGTTTAATCATATGTTAGCATAGCATTAATAACCCAACAGAGAACAGATACCCGAAGAATGTTTGTTTTCTGAGTGAGACATCGTTGTTTTTATGAGTTTTGTTTTACGCCGCTTTTAGCAATATTCCAGCAACATCACTGTGGGAGACACAAGAAATGGGCTTCACACATTGTACCCATGAGGTGAATCGAACCCCGGTTTCGACGTGACAAGCGAACGCTTTAACCATTAGGCTACACCAAAACACACACACACCCTACCCCCGCCAGATATTTTAGTGACGGTATGTTAATGTGAGAGGAAAGCAAAATGCTGCACTGTGCTACCCCACCGCCCCTGTTATGGAGTAGATGTGTGGGGTAGGTACGATGTATCGATCCCTATCGTCCCATCATGTGATGTTGCAGCGTGTCACGGGAACGTGTTTTAAGCGTGACTGATGAACTTGTGTCATGTTGGCGTTGTTCTTGTATTGCTGAAATAATGCCGATGTCACGTACAACCCTAACACATCATCAGTCGGCACTGAAGAGACGACAAGACCTCCATGGTGAATTTTTAAAGAATGAGCTTTTGCACAGTGGTGAAAACTCAATTGGCTAGCATCATTTAACGTGTACTAGTCCGGACAGTAGGCTTACACGCACACGCACGCACGCACACACAACTTTTTATACCCGTCGCAATGTTAATTAGTGCTGAAATCTTGAATAGTTAATCACTTCGTCATCTCCCCCACCACACTTTAAAATGTTACTGCTGTGCTAATAACCCGTTCATCCGACACTTAAAACATCTACGTGTCACGTTGTATTTTTAGAAGTATCTGTCACGGATGTAATTAGATTTAAATTGAAATATTTTATGCTGTAGAAACACAATGCACACTATATCTGGTGTCTTGCCTTTCAGTTTCAGGAAAAAACAATACATCAATGCTCAGTTTCAAAGCGTAAAAGGGCGTAGCCATGTGGTTAAAACGTTCGATCGCTACGTTGATTTCGTATGTGGGGACAATGATTGAATCATTGAATTGAATTGAATTTCTGGTGTCTCCCTCCGTGATACTGCTGGATCATTGCTCCAAACGGCGTGAACCCATACTCACTCACTCACTCCAAAACTTTAAAATGATACTTTAAGAAACATGCAAGTAAAAGACGCTTATGTTTTGAACCTTTGTACTAAAGGGACATATGTTTTATTTTTTGCTGTACTGTAATGACAGTTATATTTTTACACAGGCCGGATCAAACACCACGTTCCAGGCAGTGATCTGACCTTGGCCTTTGAGTGGGAAGATCCTCAACGACCTCCAACAGAAGCAGATTATTATCATACGAGAGATGGCTCTGGTAAGACTGTTGTTTTCTATTCTTCACCACTCATACCATTAACAATGATGAGTGAGTGGTACAGACAAACCCTAGAAACATAATCGGGTCGAATCGGGATTCAAACCCATGATCATAGGGTTGTTGCGTACACTACGGATGGAATTCCACACTCCACGGAAAGACTGGAGAGAAATCCCTACTACAACATTGTGTGCACCTTATACATAAAGAATGCATGTCAATTGGGAGGTGTTGACGGATAAATCGATCATATATTTAAGATATCAATCAATCTTCAACACAAATGTCATTTTGTGGTCCAATTCAACTTTTATCTGTATACATGTAGTCTCTTTTCACGGACAGTTACCAATATGATAAATACAGCTGCTGTCTGGAAAAGAAAGGGAGCGTTTTCGCAATGATCTTTTGTTTTATCTGTAATGAACTGAATGACACTTCCAGCAGCTTGCAGGGGTAATGAATTGGTGATTGTATTTATCCAAACAGAATTGCTATTGGCTTCAGCTTTTCGTCATAGGAGGGCAACTGGAGGGCGCCCAGGCCATTCCACCTCCACCAACACGTGCAGCGACATCCGGGGAGTTCCTGCGCAGCTGAGAAGCGCAAGCAACATCGGGCCAAGTGGACTGGCGTATTTCTACCAGAAATATACAGAGGCGTATGGGATACCCGTATTAGGTGATATAATACCTACTGGTAGTTATTATTAACTTAATACAAATAATGAATCCCAGCTTTAAATTGCTTGAGCCGACTGAAAATATTACGTTCGTAATTAAGTAAATAAGCGTCTTTGCTGTAGGTTCCGTTAACGTCCCCGACGACGCTCTTCGCCGCACCTGTTACGTCCTTCGCTTCCTCCTCGCCGACCACAGCGGTGTGCGGCAGTCCTACTACCGACTGTCGGGGAGGGTGGCAGTGATCGGAGCTCGGGAAGGGACGGTGTCTATTCCGGAACATGCTTGGCTTGGCCCCTCCTGGAACGACCGAGCACGTGGACTTGGGGCGACGGAACACGCCCCAGTATCAACGGGAGGCGAAGAAAACATCCTGTGTTACACCAATGACAGGTGAAAACCAGTTTCTTTAAAAGAACCAAGGATGTTGGACATAATATTATGCTAATGTTGATTTAGTTAATGTGAAAAACAAGAAGAGTCCTTCGCTTGGATGAAGTCAGCTGGCCTAAAAAGTGAAAAAGAAGGTTTTCTGTTTGTTGACCAAGACCAGTTACTTCTGACGCGAAATCGTCAATATGTGATTTTGCATCAAAGTGTTAATATGAAATGTACATACGTTTAATATAGGGGACTCTTCAACACCTTAAAGGAAGTTCCCAGATGGGTTGCGTGTAAATGTTAAAATGTTAATTTTACGAGAGTGGAATAGCATAAATATGCATCATGACAATCCTATTAAAAGTCTTGTATTTATAAAATATCCGACTTACCCATCCGCATAAAAGCATTGAACTTTCTATGTTAAATCGATCATATATTTAAGGTATTAATTGTGATTATGTAATATTAATTGCTTTCAGAGCAATAAATGAAAACTTTTTTTTGAAAGAAAAACGAATGCAAGGACTACTACTACTACAACTACAATTACTACTATTACTACTACTACTACTACTACTTCTACTGCTGCTACTACTGCTGCTGCTACTACTACTACTACTACTACTGATACTGCTACTACTACTGCTACTCCTACCACTGCTGCTGCTGCTGCTGCTACTGCTACTGCAACTGCTACTACTTCAAATGTTACAAAAATGAAAAAGCGCTATCGAGCTGACTATTATGGGAACATTTATAAGAAAATGGATCCTGACGAAAGCTGTGATTTTTAAAGGAAAAATCCCCGATAAGACTAACAAATCGGCTGATGGGACTTAATGTACCCGTGAAGACCCGGGTTAGAATTGATCCTCAGTAGCCAATGCGACTAACGGGATCTGGTGGTCATACCCACTGACTTGGATGACACATGTCATCGGTTCCCAATTGCTTAGAACGCTGCTCATGATGTTGATCACTGGATTGTCTGGTCCAGGCCCGATTATTTACAGACCGCCGCCATATAGCTGGAATATTGCTGAGTGCGGCGTAAAACTAAACTCACTCACCCTTTCCAAAGTATGACAGCTTTCAAAAAGACCCACTTAATTAATGAATATAAATTAATATTACATCAGGTATCGGGTTGAAGACATCTTCCTGCACGAGTTTGCCCATGGTATCCATTTACTGGGCGCCAAGTATGCCATCCCAGGTTGGCAGAGTCGCCTACAGTCGCTATACTACCAGGCCAGATCTGCCGGTAGATGGCGAAACACATACGCCATAACGACAGTGGAGGAATATTTCGTAAGTAAAAATGCGACAGCGCGTGTGTGCGTGTGAGAGTGTGAGCGCGTGAGCGTGTGTGCGTGTGTAGTTTGTGAGTGTATGTGCTGTTCGTATGTGTTGTTTCTCGCAATATTCATCAACGTTCTGGTTATATTACGTCAGCTTGTATTTAGCAGTTGATTAGCAGACAAATAGGTGTTTGATATTTCCGACAATGTCACCTTGTAGGTCTCCTGATCGACATCTTAGTCAACATGCTGTTGACTTGAGTCTACAATAAAGCGTCGGTTGTTAACCCAGAATGCCCATATTCTCCAATCATACAAGCAGTAGCTGTAGTCGTTTCAAGAATCCACAGTATAACCTTGACTATAACCTTGCCGATGACCCTGACCCTGACCGTCATCTTTACATCTTCAGGCGGAAGGTACACAAAGCTACTTCAGCGTCAACGCTTACTCCGCCGTCCCCAACGGCATCCACAACCACGTCAACACCCGTGAGAAACTTCGGCCATACGATCCCCAGCTGTTCTCTCTGATACAGGAAGTATTTCCCTGCGGGAACACGTACATAAAGAGATGCAGTACATCCAGAAGTAAGCAACCTGCCATATTTATCGTTATCTCCTTCACAATGGCGCGACTGGGCTCGTTCTCTAAAGGGTTCGAGAAGTTCCGCACCTTAACTTTGCCAGGATCCCGTGGTTGTTGGTTACGATTCCGGATCGACGTTGTTCGGAGTCTTGTCCGCTGGTACTGAACTTTGATTCATGTTTTCTTCAAGACCTACATCGCATTTTCTTCTCCCTTAGAAGTATACTCAAAGGCAAAAGATATTGTCACACAGAAACAACTGAATCACTGATAAACGTTCACTATAATTCGATGACCAGCAATCAGACACAACGCCCGATCCTGATCACCTCTTCTGCATTTTCTCACTCACTCACTTCTGTTTCAACCTTAACATAGTTTTTGTACAGTGTGATCTGAGTTTATCAAGGCCATGCATGTTAATTGAAAATCGATCAAATGGTCCATTAATCGTGTTTTCCAGAATGGTAATTCCATGTCGTACCATTTATTAGCTGCTTCCAAGTTCCACCGTAACCAGGCGTACGCTAGTGTTCTACGGTGTGGGTGCTGCTGATGTTTTCACAGTCCCTCTCTACCCATGGTGTGTTTTAGTGTTCCATGATTGTATGCACTGCTTACGATGACGCTTACACTTCTAATGTTGCAGATGCTGAGAGAAGTCAGCAACTGAAGATGAACTGTAACCTCAGTGGCGGGGGCGGCACGGATAGCGGGGGAGGAGGCAATGAGACTGGAAGCGGAAGTGGAACGGGATCCGGAAGTGGAAGCGGATCTGGAAGTGGATCCGGAAGTGGATCTGGAAGTGGAAGTGGAACAGGTTCAGGTATGGAGAGTCCTGAATGGACATATGTTTACTTCACTAGGAAATGTCCAGCTATAAGACATTTACACAAACAAATATGCCTTCATTTCAGGAACCTGTCAGGACAACAACTCGAACTGCAGGTCGTGGGCTTCTCAAGGGGAGTGCGGCTCCAACCCCGGATACATGCACGTGTACTGTAGACGAAGTTGCAGCAAATGCGGTGGAGATGGAACCGGATCGGGAAGTGGCACTGATACAGGTATGGAAGCTCGAATGGATACCCATGCAATAATAAGACACCAAAACGGTATACAAATGATCTGTCCGGAGTGAATACCACTTGTCTTTTTCAGGAACTTGTCAGGACACCAACACCTACTGCAAGTCGTGGGCGTCTCGAGGAGAGTGTGATTCTAACCAAGCCTACATGCATGTTCAATGTAGACGAAGTTGCAACAAGTGCGGAGGTTCGACATTATGTTCTTTTCTCTTAATGGTTCACAGTTTACACGCAGAAGGCATCACAGGCGGCCCAGTCGTCCTCGGGTCTTGGTTTTATTGTAAAGAGAACAAGATGCTGGCAGATGTGCGTCTCTTAAACGAAGCAGAATAGTGTGATTGTATAGAATCTAGAATGTCATTCATTAGGGTTATCATCCTTGCTTTGACACTTGGATTTGATTCTCACTGAATAGGACTTGAACTATTTATGTAGGAAAGAAGATAAACATATCATTGTACATTAAGTGTACAAATGCATGCCATCATTATTAATATTACATAGTTCTCTCAACAAAACTGCTACTCCCAAAGTGTTAATGTTTCCCCAGTCGCATTTTTCGATCAGTACCGCAAATTGCCGATTTAAAAAAAACAGGCGTCAGTTTTGGATGGAGAAAAATGCACATGTCACGAAACTAGTAAGCATAGTTTGATTTCATAATTTAAGGTACGTCTTGTGAGGATACGAACGTCTACTGCAGCAGCTGGTCACAGACAGGGGAGTGTCAACGAAACCCTGGCTACATGTTGTCCTCGTGTAGACGAAGCTGCGGTCAGTGCTGACCATGTCCATGCAATAAACCAAACAACATGCTGTTGACTTGAGTCTTCATTTAGTCATAAGATTTGTCATTTGTTGAGAGTTAAAGTGTTCAATATATTTAACTGCGCAGTATATATCCAATGTGAACCCATAGTAAGCCGAAACGACCAACCTATGAAGATCCAGGTTAGAATTGGTCTTCAGCAACCATGCTTGTCGTAAGAGGCGACTAACGGGATCAGGTGGTCAGGCTGGCTGACTTGGTTGACACATGCCATCGTATCCAAATTGCGTAGATCGATGTTCATGCTGTTGATTGTTGGATTGTCTCGTACAGACTTAAATATATAAATACTGCCGCCATGTAGCTGAAATGTTGCTGAATACAGCGTTAAACAACAAACAAACAAACAAACAAACAAACAACCGGAACAAACACAGGGAGAGTTCCACCTTCCTAACCTCCAAGTCTCGCATGCTGGTAAACTTACATTATTATACTGACTGACTGACTGAGTATGGTTTTACGCCGCTTTTAGCAATATTCCAGCAACATCACGGCGGGGGACACCAGAAATGGGCTTCACACATTGTACCCATGTGGGGATTCGAACCCGGGTCTTCGGCGTGACGAGCCAACGCTTTAACCACTAGGCTACCCCGCCGCCCCTTACATTATTATAATATACGAGTCGTATAACAGCCGATAGAAATTAAACATTCGTTAGTGTGTCTAAAGCTTCATAGTGAATGTACAATCAGATACGAATGCACAGCTGATAATATTCAACATGTAAGACATAACGCAAGGCCGAAACATTCCTCATTCCTATCACTCAACCTTCGGCGTGTTGGTGGTGAAGACGGGCATTCCCATCGGCACTATCAGGGGTCAGTGGCTGTCCAGTTCAGTTGATGGTCAATTCAAGCCCAGCGGCACACACAAGATGTGACAACCAAATTATTGTCTGAAAGATGCAACATAAAGTTAGTGAAAAGGGCATTTACTTAGAACGAGTTTGATATTTTATAACTCTGCTTAACTATGTTTATACGTTAAACAAATTATAAGAACAATTTTCATTCCTTAACGGACCAAACCAACAAATCTTGTTTTGCACGATTATGATTCTATGCTATAATGTTGACATTGTTGACATTATTGACATTTATATGTACAGTCGAATCTCCCTAATCCGGACACCTGCGTTTTCCTACTTTGTCCGGATAAACGAGTTTCAGGATATCTGAATCTCATCAGTTACCCAACCGTCAATATCGTCCTTCAGGCTAGGTGTACGGTTTTGGATAAGCGGTCTGGATTGGATTAGGGTCTGGATAAGCGGAGTTCTACAATATACAGTTCGAAGGAAATCAAAAGAACAACTTAAAACACCGCTTTCTGTACCCCCTCTCTAGTCTGGTTTCTTTGATCTTTAAGCGAAATTCCTTTCTCTCCGTATTATTTGAAAGAGGGAAAGCAGGCTGCTCTCAAAAGACGCTCATGTTAACTGTGTAAGGTAGACGGAAACATCAGCTGTTCGTGTAGTGCATCCGTTTAAGTCTCCAAACGAAGGTCAAGGTCACACTAAACGCCAAAAGAAACATTACCCTCCAACCTTTATCAATTACTTGAAAATTCTCAAAGATATGTTAGAAGGTATTAGTTTACAAGAAAGCTTATTATAACAACACAGCTTAATGCAAATCACGAAAACAAATTCTCAAATGCATTCATATTTAGGTGAAATGCATATTTTTCAGAAGAGGTAAATTGTCCTATTTTCGTCCATGCCAAAATAGGATGTCCAAAAAGAATGGTTGAAATTCAATTCTGCTTTAAGACAAAGATAAACTATTTAAAGTCACCATTTTTCAACTATTAAAACAAGAACTAACTGTTGTAGAGTGTGTAAAATTGTAAAATATTCATTCCTATGATTTCAGCCTTTTAAAACATTTTCTGCTATTTTGCATTAGTGAAACAAGTAAAACGTGTCTTTGATATTAAGAAAAAATGTTTAGGAACATCTGAAATTATCTTTGTTAACATTTGTGCTTGCAAAGTAACATTTTTCCATTTTCTGTTTACTCATAGCAATATCAATCGCCAAAACGCAGCAATATTCAAGCAGTATTTGCATCCATTTCACATGTAGAATGATTCTATAGGGTATGAAGAGAGCCTAGAACACATGATATGATACACAAGTACGAGAAATATGCCACGATTAACAGCGGAAGAGAGAGAAAGAGCCATTAGGATGTTGCAGATGGGGTCGACATGCAATGCTGCTGTGGGGGAGGGTGTGGGGGTGTGGGGTGTGGGGTGTGGGGTGGTGTCGGGTGGTGTCGAACATAGTTTGAGGAGGGATAACACCTACTTGACGTATTCCACTGCACGTGGTCGTCGGTAATGTTACCGGACAGCGTTATCGGGACGAGATTCTGGCTCCTCTAGTAGTACCGTTATGCATGGTTTTTATGGTCGACCCTCTTTACTGCAAGACGGCAAAGCGAGGCCTCATAGGGCCAGGATTGTCGTGGAATTCCTAAGGCAGCAGGGTGTAGAGTGGAGTGGCCAGCATGCTTGCCACACATCAACCCATTTGAGCATGCCTCGGATGAACTCGGTCAACGTGTGTACACACGTCACCCAGGACCAGTGGATCTCTCAGAACTCCGCAGAGCTCTAGTAGAGGAATGAAATGCGATTCCCCAAGCTTCCTTTATGAACTTGATAAGGAGCATGAGAACAAGGTGCACAAGTGTCTTGGACGTGCGAGGAGGGTGCACAAGATATTGAATGACCGAGTGCTTCATGTTTGTTATGTTCATTTTGGGGGGTTGGTCTATACAACTGATGTTTACTAGTATGTTTGAACTTTTTGTCTGTATGTCACGATGTGTCACGTTTGTCAACACATTCAACATTATGAGGACACTCTTACTTCTATTATTTCTGAGAAACTTTTCTTTAAATGTGCTGTATATCATTTAACACTTTATTAATGACGCCTAGTATACATGTATATGAGATTTCAGACTAATATAGAGTTGATTTGTGTTTGGACTGTTCAGTGTTTCTGTTAGTATATAGCATGTTTGTCTCAAAATCTGAAAATTCGGACACACTTACATAGAGTTAATTTGTGTTGGCACTGTTCAGTGTTACTTTTTAGGATGTTTGTCACGAAATCTGAGAATTCAGGAACACTTACATGGAGTTAATCTGTGTTGGGACTGTTCAGTGCTACATTTTTAGGATGTTGTCACTTACATATATAGAGTTGATTTGTGTCAGGACTGTTGAGCGTTGAACGTACATCATACAGTACGTTCATTCATCAACAAACCTTTTTGGAAACATTGCAACAAAATGCATCCAAAGTCACACCAAATATTTTCACATTGCTTGGCCTCAACACGCCGAACCTTATTAAATAGAATCAAAGATGGCAAAGGAGGCCGAGTATAGTGCAATCACAGATATCCGTGTTTGTTTGAGAATTTCATTTCAGTTTTCAGTTTCGGCCTGACTTTTTAAGACGTCACGATTATGAAACGAAAACGACGGCATAGGTGGATCTTGTGAATTACACATATGACCATGTTTATTTTCTCACCACCTGTGAGTTCTCGCGGGGGTATATAAGACCTCCAAACGTACTGACATACAGTCACCATGGATCTACACGTGAGCGTGTTGGTCTTTCTTCTCGTCGGGCCTAGCATCGCAAACTCCGGTAGGTTGCTATCATCTGACGATTTTAGACGTGTTATTTATCTAGAACTAGGTCTCCATATTAACGGGTTTGATCCCCGTCATCGGAACATTCTGTGAGTCTGGGCGAAGACAAAAGTCCCTCTGCCAAAAGCCCCTCTGGACACAAGCGCCTCGAAAATGTCCAAAAGTCTCTCAATTTGTGTATTAATGAGAAAATAAGATTAAAGACAAGAACTGATAAATGACATGAAAACTTTTATTGCTTCATAATATAATGACCCTAAATAATATATAAATTAATATGTAATTAGCAAATAGTTTTTGTTGGATAAGGTTTTCGTCAAATGTCTTTCACAGAAATGTATATACACCTTGGGAAAGCCTGAGTTTGGCTGTGAGAAATAATTGTTTTGCAAAATACCAATTTCCTTTATAGGTTGCAGACGTTCCGAGTAAGAAATTATCACATTTTCTCCATTTCCTTTACATTGTTACGATGCAAATATATTAGAGCAATGAGAAAAGTTCATCATACTCTATAAAATGTGATATATTTTTTCCTACTTAAAATACTGTATAAAATATATAAGAGCAGAGAGAAATATTCATTCTTTTATGACATACATGAATTGAGAAGATTGTGACAGGGGGCTCAAATTAGTGAGGGGCTTTTGTCCGGTACCCAATTCTGTGAAGCTCATTTCTGGTGTCTCTCGCAGTGATATTGGTGGATCAGTGTTCTAAATGGCGTAAAACCCAACTCACTCCCCCCAAAAATATTACTTAAACTTAAAAATGATACTACAAGAAACATACACGAAAGAGGCGCTTATGTTTTGAACCTGTTGTACTAAAGGGACATATGTTTTATTTTTACTGTGATGTAATGGCAGTTTTAATTTTATATAGGCCGGATTAAACACCACGTTCCTCGCAGTAATGTTACCTTGGTCTTTGAGTGGGAAGATCCTCAACGAAATTCAACAGAAGCAGATTATTATCATGCAAGAGATGGCTCTGGTAAGATTGGGGGTTCTTTTGCGATTCGTCTCCACCCCTCCCCATTTCGTAACCTGCAAGAAAACTTGTCCACCTATCGTTAAAAAACATGAGCTAAATACGAAATACCAAACAGAACGCCGTTGGACTTCAAGAATTCTGGTCAATGAAACCTTGTACCTAAACCCAAGATGATCTTGACTGAGTTGAATTATACTGAATCATATCAACTAAAGTCTGCTGTGTTTTAAATAGTATCTGCAATATGAGATATACATGTACGTGAATAATTGCGCACAAATTGACAATTATTTTAGCTTGAGTTTGCGCTTAGACGAAACTAGTCGCAAAAATATCCACGAGATATTTTTCTTGCCGCCATCGTCCTTTTGTAACAGTTTCCTGAAACGTTCTTGGTCACTTTTAGGTAACTGAATAGAACGATCATGCTTTTTTCCTTTCACCGAACTGTATATAACATGTCATATTTGTTCTTGTAGTTTGTTTATATATGTTGTTCGCTCTCAGTTTAAGTGTTTCCACCTGGAAAGCATGTTAAAACGCGTGCGGCAACATTTAAAGGGAGACTACGAGTAGCTTAATCACCCTGAGAATCAACTGCGCCTTGTTAAGGCCTAAAACTGCTACTACTGCGTTCAGTTACTGTTCGAAGACATTGTTTAACAAAGGACGTATGTTAAGGTGTGTTGGAATCTCATAATAAAAGATGAAAAACATGCCATGAATTTGAAACCGATATTTGTTTGTGGGAAAAATGTTAATATGATAAAAAGAGGGATGTGCAGTGTAGTGTATAGATTTTATAGAGACTGGATATTTGTTCAGCTACAGCTAAAACACCAGCTGTTTCTTTGGTGATACGTGGGAGTGAGCTGTGAGCTGCGGTCTGGGGCTGCCGCGGACAGTATTCCAGTTATATAATGTCGTGGGAGATTGTGTCTGCAAAGCTCTTTGTGGTCCAGGTTCAGATGTTGACTATTCGTGTATGGTATGTACAAACCTTAGAAATTCGGATTTCAACACACTATGGAGGAGGGTGGGGTAGCCTTGTGGTTAAAGCGTTCGCTCGTCACGCCCAAGGCCCGGATTCGATTCCCCACATGGGTACAATGTGTGAAGCCCTTTTCTAATGCCCCCGTCATGATATTGCTGGATTATTGCTAAAAGTGGCGTAAAAACATACTCACTCATCCAACCCACGATCAAAGGATTGTGGCGTGCCCTAGGATTGCAATTCCACACAGCAAGGGAGGACTGGCCAAAAATCACTCAACTGTCAATTAAATAGTTGGCATATTATACATAAAAGAATGCAGGTCAACTGTTAATTGTTCATGGCTAAATTAAACCCCGAAAAAAAGAAATTATGCCACGTGTTTTTGATGGGTTTCATAGCTGTGTTTTGGAACTAACGTTTGCAGCGATAAGGTTTAAGGGTTTTACTGCTTCAACGAAACACGTGTGTTTGTAGATATGGTCTAGACAAACCCAGGAACATGATGGTAGCGAACGTAGATTCGAACCCATGATCGTACGTTTGCCCTAGGGACGCAACTCCACACACCACACGCGGATTGGATAAAATCCCTCGACTGTCAAACCGTAGACACCTTATGCATAAAAGAATGCATGTCGAATAGGTAGTTGTTCATGGCTAAATCAACTGCCCGACAAAAGAAATTACACCCACATGGGGTTATTCAGTGATACATATGATACGGGTTTCATAGCTGTATTTTGGACCGTGCGGTTTTCGGGATCCGTTTTCGCCTAGTCACGTTTTAACACGAGTCTTTTTTGTCAATATCCAACTTTTGGTCAAGACTGACTGACTGAGTTTGGTTTTACGCCGCTTTTAGCAATATTCAAGCAACATCACGGCGGGGACACCAGAAATGGGCTTCACACATTGTACCCATGTGGGGATTCGAACCCGGGTCTTCGGCGTGACGAGCCAACGCTTTAACCACTAGGCTACCCCACCGCCCCTTTGGTCAAGAGAAAATTGACATATACACGTATCTGGAAACGAAGGGAATTATTTGGAAAGTTTGGCAATATTCTTTGTTAAGTCGGTAATCCATTGAATAGGATTTCCAGTTTCTGCATTAGTAAGGAACTGGTGATTGTATTTTTTAAAAATATGCCACTGAAGCTTAAATTTACGTTTTTTAAGCTTTTCGTCATAGGAGGGCCACTGGAGAGCGACCAGGCCATTCCACCTCCACCAACACGTGCAGCAACATCCGGGGAGTTCCTACGCGGTTAAGGCGCGCAAAAAAGATCGGACCAAGTGGATTGTCGAATTTCTACCAGAAATATACAGAGGCGTATGGGATACCCGTATTAGGTGATCTTTTGTTTGTTTGTTTGTTCCTAACGTCACATTCAACAATATTCCAGCTATTTGGAGGCGGTTTGTAATACGTACTGGTACATCTTATTACCTTAATAACCCGTATAGGTCCGGGTTAGAATGAACCTTCAGTAACCCATGCTTGTCTACCCGTGAAGGTCCGGGTTAGAATGAACCTTCAGTAACCCATGCTTGTCGTAAGCGGCGACTAACGGGATCGAGTGGTCAGGATCGCTGACTTGGTTGACACATGTCATCGGTTCCCAATTGCGCAGATCGGTGCTCATGCTGTTGATCACTGGATTGTCTGGTCCAGACGATTATTTACCGACCGCCACCATAGAGCTGGAATATTGCTGAGTGCGGCGTAAAACTAAACTCACTCACTATTACCTTAATAGAAAGAAATCAGGGTTTCAATAAATCCCCAACTAAATAACGCTTGTCGTAAGGGCCTACTGAAAAAATCCCGTTTGGGTGTTTTGGTCAGGGGGCCTGTAACGCTAAAACTATCACCGGCATGTATTTTGCCACTATCGGAGTTGTAGCAAACTATATATTACGAAATGGATGCAGCAGGACAAAAATCTCTGCTTAGAATTCGCACCACTAACTTATCGAATTTCTTGTTTATTGTATCGTGTACACAAACGTTACAACACGCTGAATCGATAACACCTGGCAGTGGACCCATTGTCGTTCTTTCATGTATTCATCTTAACCGGGTCTGAAGCGTATCACGTCGCCATTGACGACCTTGCCCTTGATCTAGCTCGCACTGAAAATAGCCAACGGCCTGATGGGAATAATATATTCATAGTTAAGTCACTGGGGTGACATTCTCTTCCCACAGAGGTTACTCCTGTCATATCTTCCTACGTACGTAGTGGCTGGGGTGACGGTTGACGGGTTTAGGTGTTGCTGGGTTTTCTTGTCCATCACTTGATCCATTTACGACCTTGCCTTTGACGAGGAAATTGTCTTGAAGAGATTTATGTTTTAGCTGTATATTTGTCATTTCTATTTCTATCATTGGTTATGGTTTTGAAGAAAACGGTCAATGCGCGTCAAGAAGATAAGTGTCTATTGTACAGGTTCCGTTAACGTCCCCGACGACGCTCTTCGCCGCGCCTGTTACGTCCTTCGCTTCCTCCTCGCCGACCACAGCGGTGTGCGGCAGTCCTACTACCGACTGTCGGGGAGGGTGGCAGTGATCGGAGCTCGGGAAGGGACAGTTTCTATTCCGGAGCACGCTTGGCTTGGCCCCTCCTGGAACGACCGAGCACGTGGACTTGGGGCGACGGAACACGCCCCAGTATCAACGGGAGGCGAAGAAAACATCCTGTGTTACACTAATGACAGGTGAAATACCACAGTTTTCTACTACCACTACCACCACCACCAACAACAACACCAACATCAACACCAAAACCACCAACACCAACATCACTGCACTACTACTGGTACTGGGGCGGTGGGGTAGCATTGTGCATCAAGCGTTCGCTCGTCACGCTGAAGACCCGAGTTCGATTCCCCCACATAGGTACAATGTGTGAATCCTATTTGTGGTGTCCCCCGTCGTGATATTGCTGGAATATTGCTAAAAGCGGCGTAAAACTAAACTCACTCACTCACTCACTCACTTCTGGTACAACTACTTCCACTGCTACCAAAAAGAAAGCACAATCAATCTCACGATTATGGGATGTTTTTGAAAAAGTGATTCCTGAATTTGAAAGTAAAAAGGACTGAATTTACCTTTTTCCAAAGTTTGTCTGTATATAACGTACAATCAGGTATGGGGACGAGGACATCTTCCTGCACGAGTTCTCCCATGGCATCCATCTACTGGGCGCCAAGTATGCCATCCCAGGCTGGCAGGGTCGCCTACAGTCGCTATACGACCAGGCCAAGTCTGCCGGTAGGTGGCGAAATACATACGCCATGACTACAGTGGAGGAATATTTCGTAAGTAGAAATATTACAGTTGGTTTGATCGTGAGTGAGTGACTGCGTCTGTTGTTTGTTTGTGTATGTATAGTATGTTGGTATGTATGATATGTTGGTATGTTCGTATATGTGGTTTCTCTCAACGTTCATCAACTTTCTAGGTATATTTCTACAGGTTGTAATTTAACATAATTTTGTCAGAAAAACGGGTGTTTGCTGTTACCGCAGAATGCCATCCCGTCGGCCTCCCGCTCGCCATTTCAGCCAGATCTTACACACACAAAAACAATAGCTGTAGCTAAAGTGGTCTTTTCATTTCAGCGTCGTATCTTAATCGTAAAAATATTTTTGGCAAAATAACATAATCACAGCAAGCCACGCGACCATGGCAATCCATAGTATGACCTTGATTGTGTTCGTGCCTGTGACCTTGACCCTGACCCTGACCCTGACCATGACCCTGGCCCTGACTGTTACTGTGACTTTACACGGGAAGGGACTGTGACCGTAACTCGGCCCGTGACAAGTACCGTTACTGAGACTGCATCTCTGCTGTCATGTAAGTCTGCTACATGTGACAGTTTATCAACCCCTCTCCTTAGGCGGAAGGTACACAAAGCTACTTCAGTGTCAACGCTTACTCCGCAGTCCCCAACGGCATCCACAACCACGTCAACACCCCCGAGACACTACGACAATACGATCCCCAGCTGTTCTCTCTGATAAAGGAGGTATTTCCTTGCGGGAACACGTACCTAAAGAGATGCAACACATCCAGAAGTAAGCAACCTGCCATATTTATCGTTTTCTCCTTCACAATGGCGCGACTGGGCTCGTCTAAAGGGTTCGATAAGTTGCCCACCTTAGCATTGCATTGATCCCGTGGTCGTCGGTCCATGCAAGATCCAGGATCGGCCTTCTTCATGTTGTTTTGGTGTTTTAGTCTTCTAAGATGTATCTGCTGCTCATGTAAACACCCAGTTCCTTTGTAGCCACGGTGTATGCTATGTTCTATGGTGTATATGCTGCTAATGTTGAGGCAGTCACCACGTCCCTCTGTAGCCACGGTGTGTGGTATGTCCTATGGTGTATATGCTGCTAATGTTGAGGCAGTCACCACGTCCCTCTGTAGCCACGGTGTATGGTATGTTCTATGGTGTATATGCTGCTAATGTTGAGGCAGCCACCACGTCCCTCTGTAGCCACGGTGTATGCTATGTCCTGTGGTGTATATGCGGCTAATGTTGAGGCAGTCACCACGTCCATCTGTAGCCATGGTGTATGATATGTCCTATGGTGTATATGCTGCTAATGTTGAGGCAGTCACCACGTCCCTCTGTAGCCACGGTGTATGCTATGTCCTGTGGTGTATATGCGGCTAATGTTGAGGCAGTCACCACGTCCCTCTGTAGCAATGGTGTATGATATGTCCTATGGTGTATATGCTGCTAATGTTGAGGCAGTCACCACGTCCCTCTTTAGCCATGGTGTATGATATGTCCTATGGTGTATATGCTGCTAATGTTGAGGCAGTCACCACGTCCCTCTGTAGCCACGGTGTATGCTATGTCCTGTGGTGTATATGCTGCTAATGTTGAGGCAGTCACCACGTCCCTCTGTAGCCATGGTGTATGGTATGTCCTATGGTGTATATGCTGCTAATGTTGAGGCAGTCACCACGTCCCTCTGTAGCCATGGTGTATGGTATGTTCTATGGTGTATATACTGCTAATGTTGAGGCAGTCACCACGTCCCTCTGTAGCCACGGTGTATGCTATGTCCTGTGGTGTATATGCTGCTAATGTTGAGGCAGTCACCACGTCCATCTGTAGCCATGGTGTATGATATGTCCTATGGTGTATATGCGGCTAATGTTGAGGCAGTCACCACGTCCCTCTGTAGCCACGGTGTATGCTATGTCCTGTGGTGTATATGCGGCTAATGTTGAGGCAGTCACCACGTCCCTCTGTAGCAATGGTGTATGATATGTCCTATGGTGTATATGCTGCTAATGTTGAGGCAGTCACCACGTCCCTCTGTAGCCATGGTGTATGCTATGTCCTGTGGTGTATATGCTGCTAATGTGGAGGCAGTCACCACGTCCATCTGTAGCCATGGTGTATGATATGTCCTATGGTGTATATGCTGCTAATGTTGAGGCAGTCACCACGTCCCTCTGTAGCCACGGTGTATGATATGTCCTATGGTGTATATGCTGCTAATGTTGAGGCAGTCACCACGTCCCTCTGTAGCCACGGTGTATGATATGGCCTATGGTGTATATGCTGCTAATGTTGAGGCAGTCACCACGTCCCTCTGTAGCCACGGTGTATGATATGTCCTATGGTGCATGTGCTGCTAATGTTGAGGCAATCACCACGTCCCTCTGTAGCCACGGTGTATGATATGTCCTATGGTGCATGTGCTGCTAATGTTGAGGCAGTCACCACGACCCTCTGTAGCCACGGTGTGTGGTATGTGCAATGGTGTATATGCTGCTAATGTTGAGGCAGTCACCACGTCCCTCTGTAGCCACGGTGTATGATATGTCCTGTGGTGCATGTGCTGCTAATGTTGAGGCAGTCACCACGTCCCTCTGTAGCCACGGTGTGTGTTATGTCCTATGGTGTATATGCTGCTAATGTTGAGGCAGTCACCACGTCCCTCTGTAGCCACGGTGTATGGTATGTCCTATGGTGTATATACTGCTAATGTTGAGGCAGTCACCACGTCCCTCTGTAGCCACGGTGTATGGTATGTTCTATGGTGTATATGCTGCTAATGTTGAGGCAGTCACCACGTCCCTCTGAAGCCACGGTGTATGCTATGTCCTATGGTGTATATGCTGCTAATGTTGAGGCAGTCACCACGTGCCTCTGTAGCCACGGTGTATGCTATGTCCTGTGGTGCACGTGGTGCAAAGGTTAAGGGCCGTTTCCCGACCCCTCTGTAGCCACGATGTTTTTAATGTACTATGGTGTATGTGCTGCTAATGTTGAGGCCGTTTCCCAGTCCCTCTGTAGCCACGGCGTATGCTGTGTTCTATGATGTATGTACTTTCTTCACTTGTAACGTCTCAGATGCTGAGAGAAGCCAGCAACTGAGGATGAACTGTAACCTCGAGGGAGGAGGCAATGAGACCGGAAGCGGAAGTGGAACCGGATCCGGAACTGGAAGTTCAGGTATGGAAAGTCTCTAATGGGACATATTTGTAATTCACTAACAAACGGCCAGCTGTAAGACATTTGCACAAAATATCTGTGCTTGTTGAAGACGAGCTCTTCATTTCAGGCACATGTCAAGACAACCACTACAAGAATCCTGTGATTGCTTGTACAAATCCTTGGTTTAACAGCCCCATACTCATCTTCACCTTCTATTTTCGTCCTTAGTCGCTTGGATTTGACAGGAAAACTGTTCTCACTGAATAGGAGTTGAATTATTCATGTAGGAAAGAGAGAGAGTGAGTATGGTTTTACGCCGCTTTTAGCAATATTCCAGCAACATCAGGGCGGTGGACACCAGAAAGGGGCTTCACACATTGTACCCATGTGGGGAATCGAACCCGGGTCTTCGGCGTGACGAGCGAATGTTTTAACCATGAGGCTACCCCACCGCCCCCTATTTATGTAAGAAAGAGTATAAAACATATTATTATACCCAGGTGGTAATTCGTAAAGGGGTTTAAACACCTTCGAGTGATTTGATTGGCTAATACGTGAACTTTGACATTGCCGGTACTACTTTTATCACTCATTCCATTCATGATTTTTAATCAGAAGTTTTCACACCTTCTGAGAGCATGTAAAAACGAGTGTTCTACTGCCACTGCCATGCCTCCCGTGGTTTCTCGTGTAGGGGTTGAAAACACTTCTTAGTCAGAGCACAATAGGCTTGAAATCGTCTTCATTCGAGGTTGTAGGCAGTGTGTTTTCAGGCCCAATTTACGGTGGAGCCTTCAACGTAAACATCGAATCTCGACAATTGGGAATTCCAAGCCGAGATTAGCAGGCGTCACTGGCGTCCTCCGCCAAGCGTCGCCGTTTTATATAGTGTCTCGTCCTCCGATGACGAACATTCACCACAACTATTTGAGACATACAGTTCCCTGTTATTCACGTTCATTCGGCTTCTGCTGTTGTGTGTGCCGCTCCTAATGCTTCCTTTTATCTGCTTGTTGGTAAACAGTTCTTAACATGACGACTAGCCCGACAGTGATGGCCGACTGACGTTCAGGCGAGATTTAGGTCACGTAGTTAGATTCAAAATGTTTAAACTTTACAAGTGTTTTGATGAATTACATTGTTGCATTTGAAGCCAAATCCTCAATTGAAAAAAAATAAATTTTTGATTTCGACTTGATTCTTTCTTAATTTGTTTATTTTCTTGACTAGTTAAAGGAACTACATTACCTCTACGCAGCATACATTTTCCTGGAGTGTAGCGGTTGACATTCCAATCACCAATATGATGTAATCATCTGCGTTGTGCGGTTCTATATAAGAAAGCAAAATATCGCTTTATTTTTTAGAACGTGGGTAATAAATAGGATACAAAACTCGTTCCCCTTTCACATCAAGTTTATGTCCCTCGTGAAATAATTTTGCTTTGCCACCCGCTAAAGCTCGTGACAAAGCAAAATTATTTCACTCGTCACACAAACTTGATATGAATGGGGAAGCTCCTTTGATATCCTATAATTATTGTCCATTTTGTGTACAATGCATGCCAAAGGTATTATGTAGCTCTCTCTGCCAATCCGTTACTCCTAAAGTGTTAATGTTTCTCAATTAGGTTTTTCCGATCAGTACCGAAAATTGCCGATTTCAAAATACCACGCGTCAGTGTTGCTGCTTTTGGTACCATCTTCGGTGTAGAAAAATCACATGTCACGAAGCTAGTAATCTTTTTTTATTTCATAATTTAAGGTGCGTCTTGTGAGGATACGGACCCCGACTGCAGCAGCTGGTCACAGACAGGGGAGTGTGCACGGAATCCCGGCTACATGTTGTCCTCGTGTAGACGCAGCTGCGGTCAGTGCTAACCATGTCCATGCAATAAACCAGACTCATACCAATAGTGCAGTTGACGTATTATTTAGTGATAAAATAGTTGTCATTTGCCGTGAGCTGAAGTAATCAAATAATTAAACATAATTAACTGAGCAGTACATTTCCAAAACAGTAAGCCGTCACGAACAACCCGTGAAGATCAGGGTTAGAATTGGTTTTCAGCAACCCATGATTGTCGTAATAGGTTTTCAGCAACCCATGATTGTCGTAATAGGGAAATAATGGGTAGTAAGGCTCGGTTGACACATGTCATCGTATCCCAATTGCGTAGATCGATGCTCATGCTGTTGATCACTAGACTGCCAGGCCCAGACTCGATTATTTACAGACCGATATATTGCGATATAGTGCGGCGTTAAACAACAAACAATAAACTCACGTGTTTCATGTCCAGGTCCATCAATTCGTGAACACACACATTATCTGTTGAACCATTTTGTTCAATAATAACGCTAGCGCGTCGTTAAAAGTACTGGTAATACAATAATAGATATAACATGTATATTCTGGTATCACACGGTCGCAATCAAACATGCATGTCTCTGTGTAAATCTAATAATATTGAACGGAACGCTGTTTCACCCTATCTTGCACGTAAAGGGCGCAGGGCGATGTAAACAGACTGCAGTGATTTTACGACGGTGTGCAATACCCCACATTCAAGACAGCATACACCTTAGGCCAGCACTGGGGGAGAATCCATATTGGATCTGCCTCCCCTTTCTCCTCTTGGTCCCAAATCGAACCTTGCCCCTGCGATGATTTAGTAAATATATGTTTTAAATTACTTCTTAGAGAATATATACACATAATAGTCATTCTGAGTGGTTTCGATTTTCTTTTTCTTGTTTTGGGACCTGATCAATAATGTTAAGGTTTCGGTTAACATTTGTTGTTAAACTTAAAGATGAACACAATTTCAGTTACCAATAGGAGAACATTTATTCCAAATCCGCCATTATGTTCCGGCGAACTTTGGCGTCATCTGGATGGTATCAAAGGCTGATAATCACTGAATATCACGATTGTATTGACAGCTGAGTGAGTGAGTGAGTTTAGTTTTACGCCGCACTCAGCAATATTCCAGCTATAGGGCGGCGGTCTGTAAATGATCGAGTCTGGACCAGACAATCCAGTTATCAACAGCATGAGCATCAATCTGCGCAATTGGGAACCGATGACATGTGTCAATCAAGTCAGCGATCCTGACAACCCGATCCCGTTAGTCGCCTCTTACAACAAGCATGGGAGAGAGGGGACCCCTTATATACCAACACACACCCACTTTAACACTTTGCAAACAAAATTAGCTCCTAAACATTAACAGATAGATAATGTTGATCTCAGACCAAACTCCCCGATTCCCCTGGACAATGAGATGGTTTTCGGCCTTCAAGTTTTTTGAAAATGCCGTCTCTGCACGCATCTATATATAGCATACATATTTTAATAAAACAATTAACCATCGAAAAGAGGTAATATAATCTATTACATAAGTCAAATATTTTAGTTCCCGTACTGGAAAGGAGCTGAGATTGTATTCTAACCTGGCAGTTTTGCATACAGTTTGATATTTTACGAACTATTTAAATTAAATTGAGTAAAATTCAAAGTTACATCAGATGCTTGTCATCTGTTCTTTCGAATTCATTTGTCCTTCAATTTTATATCAGAAGGGGTTGTTTAATGTTTTTGATAACGACCTGGCTGTTCAGTTGTACTGTCGTACCCGATGACGTAGAGCGTTGCGTCATAACCAAATGAATAGACCACGTCGTGCCTGTCGACGTGACCGACGTAAAGCAAACTGACCACATCTACGCTTTCTCGATGACAAATAGCCCAACTGACCACACCCCCAATCGTCTTCGACCACCCTGTTACTATGAATACAGAAATTCCGTTAGGTATTTACACGCTAATGTCACCCATCAGTTAAATGCCACAACCAGTTGCTCATATTATGCACGTTAAAGTTTCCCATGAATCGGGGGGTCACACCAATCACAGCTATAGACGCTCGTCCGCCCAGGTGAGACGTTAGCGTAATGATATCCAGGTGTAGCCACTCTTGTGAAAGGGCTTCATCCGCGAAGAACAATAGTCCCTCTTTAAAAGCCATCTCAAATTACCCTGTAATGTCAGGACGCTGAAACCCACCCTAGATTGATTATAAACTTTCGCTAGTTGAGTCAGAGAAGGTGAGAGGCACAGGCACAACTCCCTGTCAACCGGTGACAACTATGAAAAGTGCCTTGTGGAAAATCTGCCAGAAATCATGTTTTCGTAAACTACCGGTGTCGGGTGACAAAGAGGCTATTCAATGAAGCCTGATTGAGTCGTCGTTTGGGACGGGGAGTCGGATTTCACGACTCTTTAACTCGGGAATTTCAGGGGAACTTCGATTGTTTTGAATAGATGAGCAGGTTTAGACGAAAATTGTGCTGGTTTGGGCTGACAGAGCGATTCATCAAATGTGTCACCTCTGGTTTACAACTCTCTGTTTTAAGCTGCATCGGTATTTCAGAGAGACAGCCTGGGACCAAGAGATTCTTTGTCGCCAAATGCCTGTTTTAATAATCGCTAAGTTGGACAGTTTAAAAGTCTATAAATGTTTCAAATTCTTTAGAAGGCTCACGAATTAAGATGACAGAAGGGTTATCGAGTGGTTAGTATTAAAACACACGCGACACAAGGACCAGGTTCGAATCCCTGCACGGTTCTGCTTGTTCATTTAATTGTACTGATTCTAAGTCCATCTGAACAGGCAAAAAACGTTAGTACTCTCCGGACTATAGCCAGTATATGACACAAACATTCCGACTCCTTTCCCTGTAAATTCTAGGGATATTTCATTTTGGTGGCTATGAATGTTAAATGTAAAAGGTCAGTGTTAGAGAATACCAAGTCTCGATTATCCGCCGAAATTAACTTCCATCATCTGAAAACACTGTAGGAAGAAGCCTCACGAACACGAACTGTCACTGTGAAGGAGTTATGAAAAAAATCACATTTTGGATTAAAGCACATCTAGCACACAATTTATTTGAAATGAATTCCTTGTGGTTCATTGATATGGTTTCTAAAAATATCCAGCCCATGTTTCAGTGAAATGAAGACATGGCTGGCATTGCAGGCTTTGTACCCTTTTCTTGCCTATATATTTAACGAAAAGGCAAAACATCTCTTATTAAAACTTCAACACTCCAAACTGTAAAACACGATATTATTTTTATCGACATTAACGAAAGAATACAATTTAGCACCTGTTTGCTGCAAATAGAATTATACATATATAAATTCTGATCTGAGACCCAAATCCCGGATCCCCCCCGAAAATGGAATGGGTTTCTGCCTTGTTTTTGAACTGCAGACCCTACACGCACCGCATCGATAATAATATGCATGTACATACTTCTATATAACAACTTACCACTGGAGAAATAGAAAACTAATACAAAAGTCACATATGTCCATTCCCGAACTTGACCTTGTACATTAACATCACTATTAAACTCCAAATATGTCCATGTTCACAGTAAATCATTTCCATAATCATAATCATAAGAATAATTCCTTTATCACAATGGTTGTAATCATTGATACTATCTGTCTGATAAAATGTGTTACTACACAGTGGAAATAAAGGACAAACATATCATTGCTAAATAGGATTTCAACTGTACATTACCAATTCATTCTCATTGCAATACACTGTAGAAGACATTTATTGAAATATTGTAAAACAATTATGACTATTAATCATGATGAAAATCCCCAATTACGTGAAATGAACATTTTTAAACGTTTGCACATGTGTTAATTATATCAGAAACGCATTATATTGCGTTATCTTTTCATACACAAAATGTGTACAGGATACCAGTTATATTTAGCCTTTCATGTAAAACACATTATATTGTAAATTCTTTTCATGTACAGGATACCAGTTTTATTTATCCTTTCATGTAAAACACAGTACGTTGTAAATTCTTTTCATGTGCAAAATGCGCACAGGATACCAGTTTTATTTAGCGTTTCATGTAAAACACATTATGTTGCATAATATTTTCATGTACAAAATATGCACAGGATACCAGTTTTATTTTGCGTTTCATGTAAAACATATTATATTGTAAATTCTTTTCATGTACAAAATGTGTACAGGATACCAGTTTTATTTAGCCTTTCATGTTAAAAACATCATATTGTAAATTCTTTTCATGTATAAGATACCAGTTTTATTTAGCCTTTCATGGAAACTACAGCATATTGTATAATATTTCATACATAAAATGTGTACTGGTTGCAAGTTTCATTTAGTTTTGCATGTAAAACACAACGTTTGTGTACTGGATACCAAGTTATCTTGCTTGCATGTAATAAACTCAACAAAGCACATATTAATGTTACAAATACCTCTTCAGTTTTGGGTCTATTGAGTCACACCCAATTAAGCCACATCTTCCATTTATAACACCGGTCGAAACAACTCGTGATGACTTAATTGGGAATAGATAGGACGGAACTCAATAAATGTAAACGCGGTTACTTAAAGTTACGAGTTAAGTATCAAAAGGTTTCCAGATTGTAACAAATTGCTGTTTAAGAATGAAGCGGGAGGGGTAGATGGATTAACCTGAAGAAAGTTACGCCATTAAACAGGTACAAAATAAAGAAAGGTAGACGCTTCGATTGCGCCGAACAAAGAGATGATGCAAGCTCCCGGTTGCGTTTTCGTTGTCCGGATTTTAATAGAGCTACCCCTTAGCCAACTACTACTTTAAGGTATCCAATTGCGCTAGTAAAGACCTTATCTGTCTATCAGATAGGAGAAGGATCAAATGCAGTTTTGAGCCTGTAATCCGATTCATAAAACACATTATTAGCCGTGGTAAGAGGAAGAGTTAATGGTTGGCTTTATTGAGTGCTTAAATTGTCTGATGGAAGGGCGTTTAAGTGACAGATTCGTTGAGTGAGATATAGGTTTGTTAATTGTATTTGTCC